GAGACAGATATATATATGTATATATATATATATATATCTAAATGATATCTAAATGATATCTATGATAATCTAAAAAAAATAAGGCCTAGGCTAGACCTATACAGATTATTTCTGTAATCATAGTATAATCATTATTCACTTCTAAAATATATATTTCAGAAATTCGAGTTTTTGGTTTTCAACTACTGTACTTTTTACCATAAGGCTTGTCAGTGAGACCTACGCTTGCATAATACCTACTACTTTAGCCAGCTTGCTTATTGCATCAGCATGTATGAAAACCGCTCTGCCAAACATAAAAAAACTACTAATAAATTTTCATGCGTTTATTGCCGAATCAGAAGATGAAGTTTTGAATCTATAGCGCCATCAATCGCCACTGCCTCAAACGACGTCCAGGAAAAAAAAACGCTACTCGGTAAACAGGGTACCAGCTACTATAATTTAAAATTATAGCCCTGCACAACTCACTAAAATCATCCATTACGTCGTGACTTTGTTAATGAATAAGATGTGTTGTCAACAAGCCAAAAAATAAATAAATAAAAATAAACATTAAATATATGACCTGGTATTAATTTTGTGACCCATGGTATATATTTGAATAAGTTTTGCTTAAATTCTTCGGGCTTCATTTTGGTGTAGTTTTTTTCAAGTTCAATTTATTCACACAAATTGGTGAAAAGGAGTAAAAAATAACTAGCGTTAATTGAAGCTTGACTCCTAATCTAACATAACAGTACATAATAATTTTCTCATTATTTACCATAAGAGTTTTAATTAAACAACTCCTTAAATAGGAATGAAAATCAACGGTAAAATAACTAAAACGTGACTTTAATATTTAATGAAGTCCATTGATTGAGACGAAAGCTCTTAAATGAATATTATCGTTATAAAAGGTGCATTCAACTCTTTTAAGATGCTGCAGTAGGTAAACAATTTACTTTAGTAAACTTAACGGTTAAAGGAACTGCAACATATTTTTTTTATTCTCATCAATAAAGAATGAACTAACCTGACAAGCCCCGGCCGCCCCGGCCGGCCCTTGGATATCGTTGCTGAGAAAATAACGAGAACATTATACCTATTAGAAGCTCCTGATTAACAGTTCCATGTGCTGTTTAGTTAAGAGAGGGATATTCCTCCATAATGAATTTTATTCTATCACAATTACACTACAACTTGATTACATGATTATTAGAGTCCACGCACATTAATCTATCATTCATATATCTGCTATAGTGATTACGTATGACATATGATAATAGTAAACATTTTCCAAATCAAAATTGCACTTAATTTTACTTACCAGAGTGTTCTGATCACTACATTTAAAAGATGGACATGCAATTTTCTTGATTTAGAGTTATTACAAAATTCTCGGTTAATACATTCTTATGAGGATATATTTTTGGTTTTTTCTGATTGGTTAATAATTGGCATACTTGGAAGGTCAATTATGATTACTGTAACCATCTGACTCGTAATAGAAAGAGTGTTAGGCCTATGTTTATATATTATGCACTATTAAAAAGCTTTCCAAAACAGGTAGTAAAAATAATTACTTAAATCGAAGGTCACCAAAAATCCCATTAACGCTGCTTGAAGGTACAAAAGACCGTGTAATCCCACTCATTTTGAACAGTGTTTATGTGTGCTTAAAAAAATGTTATTCAAATTTCTATTCGGCACAGCGCCATCAAACCAGAGATTCAGAGTTACAGAGGCTATACAATTTCTGCTGAGGTTGCCGCGGCTCATTTCGCACTTTTCGTGGTGCTGTTCATAAAAGATTTCCAAAGATCAATTATTCCGGGCTTCAAAGGAATCTACAGTTACCCATCAATTGAATAAAAATGCGTAACCGTGTTGTAGATTCACACAAAAGATCGCATAAATTAATTAAACCATCATCAAACTCTCTATGCACCACACCCAAGCAACTAAACTTTACTGTACTTTACTTTCCAATTTGGCTGCTTGGCCATCAAAGCTGTCGCTGGCACCGCTCCGGGTTATATGTGTGCCTGTGAACGAGGGTTCAACCTGAAACAACTCTACCAGAATTTTTACCTGGGGCCTATGTTCATTTCCACGACCCCCAACCGAATTATCGTAAAATAGTTTCAACGAAATTAATGCCTTTGGAGCTTATTCTGTAGGCCTTTTTTTGTGACAATTCCTGCTGATTTGAAAATTGCCTATGTTGTCAACATGGTTGTCACCATTGTTTGAACAAATAATTAATTAATTTGTATCATTTAGCTTAAGCTTAGTTATATCTTTTCTAAAAATAGTATAGTAATACTAATTGATAATTTATTCACTAGGCTTGACGAGGAATATAAACAGTTTCTACCAAATACACCAGTGTAGGTTTGCTCAGACGGAAGTGTAAGTTATTCAACGTATGCTATTTTTCGAAGTCCCTGTCACATCAACATAAAGTTATTCCCATACGACTTTTAAACGTGCAGACTACGATTTTCTTCTTGGATTCACGATATGTTAGAGCTAGACATTTACCCTCGTCTACGTTCTCTGGATCAAGAGGAGCGGTTTGATGGCAACGGAGTGTGGGAGCTAATTGATGTAGAGGGAAGTCGAGAAGTGGAGGAATACAAATCAGACTCTAGCCCGTATGTTTACGCCGTCTTTTCCATTAATCACATGCGACACCACGAGTTTCAGTTACTATTTATTTTGATTCCATACTTCTTCTGCTCGTTTCTCATATGCCTAATGTTCTTTGTCCCGTTTGAGAGTGGTGAGAAACTATCGTACGGTATTACAGCTGTCCTAGGAATGATCGTCTTTCAAGAAATTATTGCATTTTCTCTGCCTCCCGTGGGAAATGAATCCTCTATTGTTGGTAATTACATTTTTAACATTTTCAATACTATGAAAAATGCACAACAGATTACAGTACAACAATTGGTGATACTTAGTGGTAGTGGTAAATATGATGATTATTGGGTGCTGAAATCTGATTAGTTTAAGAGAATGAGTTAGTCAAAAACGATTTCAACGGCCTTCTGAAGAATATAATGTAAAGTATAATGGAATGATGATGATGATGATGATAATAACTGACAATTGTGATGCTGTTCATTTTTCGGATGATGTTAATGTTGATGATGTTGATGATTATGCTGATAATGATTATGATAATGATAATGATAGTGATGATGATAGTGATGATGTTGATGTTATTGATGATGATGATGATAATCGTTGGGTTTATGATGATTATGATGATGCTAGTGATGTTGATGATGATAGTGATGTTGATGATGATGATGATGGTGATGTTAATGATGTTGTCGATGATGAATATGATAATGACATTGGTGATAATGTTGATAGTTGATAATGAAGATATTGGTCTGGGTGTTGATGATAATGATGCTTATTAATAATACGGTGATAAAAAACATAATACCTGAAATAAACAAATATGAAGTGATTTAAAATTAAATGATTTAAACCCCCTCCCCATTTTTTGTTTATAATCGTAGTTACTTTCAGGACGTTTCGAGATCTAGACAAATCTAAAAATGATTCTCAATTATTTGTTAGCAATTATTAATTATTATTACTGTACAGTATCAAAAAGTTAAGAATATGGTATTATATTCATTATTCAAGACAAGACAATTTTTTTTAGGAAAGTACTTTACTTCAGTGATATGTATTGGAATCATATCAGTGTTTGTGGAGATTATGGTTAACAACATATATGAGCAAGGGAATGTTTACAAGGCATGTGTGTACGTATTAAACTACCGTAAAGGAGAGAAAAATAAAGAAGACAGCAACCACGAGACAGGACATGCTCACCAACAACGAGATGACACAAATGCAGCGACCAAACACAAGAAGGCTCTACAACATTACTGTGCTATTTTTTATTTCGTCTTTGGAATTCTCTGTCTAATATTAATTTTCATATTCATGATCTGGTTTTATGTAGTAATTTAATAGTAACAATATTAGACGATATTCGTAATTTTTGTCACAGGTGGCGAGTACAAGAGTACACAAGAAGGAAAGATATTCACACCACCGGATTGGATAGAAATTGTCATTTTTTTCAGTAATAATGCAATACATAACCTTCTGTACCTAAATTAAATGTAGTAATGGTTCATCTACATATCAGATAGGCCCATATTAGCTAGATATTTTATTATAGATGAGTTATATACGGTTGGGATGCATGGTGAAGTGAAGACACAAAGCCTATTCACATTTACAGCAACTCCATAAGTTTTCAAGATAATTATGATATACACACACTACCCTGAGACACACTCATTTTTCTTATTCCTAAAAACGAAGAAAGAAAAACTCACTGTATCATTAGTGGTGATAATATTAGGTGATAAAATGACTGTCATCCTGAAAAAAAAAATAACCGAGAAGCTTACTTTCTCAACCCGACCAGTTCAATCCTGATTTAAGATTTATGAAGCAAATTAATATTGAAATATTATTATAATAGACCGTCTGCTATTTAGAGATCGAATGCATTTAGCCGCTCACAATTGCTGTTTAGTAGTACACGCGATACTGTGCAATACTTGTTAAAATAGTTTGTGTTGTTCTATTGTATTTTGCATATTTTCACAATCTTAAGTTTATTAAATTTTATAATAGCTACATAACCTTAAATTTCTAAACCTAAGAATAAACTCGAATACATAATTTTACATGTTTGGCCTATCTGGGCAGGAAAAATCCTATCCTATAATCTTCATTTTCATTTGGGGTCGATGTAGTATTACGACAGATATTATTTTAAAACTGATAATAAAAAAGTATGTTTTCATATTATCACTTGTTATAATTTCATAATTTCATGACATACATCTAAGTTAAGACAATCAATAGTATGTGGCAACATTATTTCATTACTCTGCAGTCAATATTTGTTGAATCGTCTACAATTATATTATGGATAATAAGTGTTAATAGTGCAATATTGAGTCTACCTAATAGGCTAGACTTATACGTAAAAATATCATCCTTATTGCGATAGTCGTTCAGACCAAGGCAGGCGGTCGGAGGTGGTACCAATGGCTTTGCACTGAAGGCTATTAATTTTCTCTGCTTTTTGTTGCGACGGTGCTTTCTTCTTGAGTTCTGGTTGGATAAGTGTTTCCACTCGCCGCTGCTTTTGGTGCAGATCGGTGTTTTCTTTTTACTGGTGGTGTGCCTCTTTTTTATGTTTCTGACAGTTAAATGCGTCACTCGGCTGTCTCCTCCAATTGCTTGACAGTGTCGTTGCGTGCATCCCTTGTTAAATGGTATTTTATAACAACCATTGCATTTTATAATAACCTGTCGTATTTTTTAACAACACTTGTCGTATTTTGTAACAGAGTTTTGTACTATGTAATAACTGTCTGGCATATTTTGTAATAATCTCAGCCGTCGTACTTTTAACAGTCTGTCATATTTTGTAATAATATTTTTTCCTCTATACAGTCATATGCAGCTTTTGTGGGGTTAAATGTAAGCTTTGTTAATGATTGCTTAGTGTATTTATATGATACTAAGGGTAGGAACGCCTTAAAAAGTAGAACCTTTTATTGCACTTGCTAGTAATAAAGTTTGTCTTCGCCTTTTAATCATCGAGTGTAGTGTAAACAGCCCTTTATACTTTTTGCCAGTTGATGTATTCTCGAGCGTTTCAAGATAAACATGTTTTTACTGCATTTTTATTTTCTAGCATAGACGAAAAATAAGATCAATTTCCACCGAACACCCCAGTAAGGGTAGGTTCGAACGGAAGTGCTTGGTACTCATAAGTTGTTGCTATATTTCGAAGTTCCTGTCATAATTATTCATATCCAGTTATTCCTATAATCAAATATTCACTTCTGATTTGCTTAATGGATATATTAGGCTTACCAGTTAGATGTCCACCCAGAGTTACGTACTCTGGACCAGGAATATCAGTTCGATGACCAGAGGGTGTGGTATCTTCTTAGCGTAGATGGAAAATGGGAAGTGTAGGAATACAAAACAGACTTGAACCCATCATATGTGCATACTGCCTATTATATTCATCTCAATTGAAGTCAAGAGTTTCAGTTTCTTTTTATATCGGATACCTTACCTTTCTGGCTGATTTCTCATCTGTTTAATGTTCATTTTTTCACTTTGCTTTAAATATTTTATTTTTATTATATCACGGGCCAGAACCAATTGCTTCTCTGGCCAAATTTGGCCCACAGGCCGCCTATTAAGGACCAGGGGCCTATATATTGTACTTGATTTCATAGATGCTTCACTATGCCTGTTGATCGCCTTGGCGTGAAACCAACAATAGCAATGTTGAAACATATAAATGAAGTTCTTCTGTACCGGACCTTGAAATATTGTAAATGATAGCTCTACCTAACAAGTACTGCGCATTGTTCTTGGAATATCTGGCATTCCTTATAGTATTGGTTATATATAATAGTGTGAATGTCTATAATGCCAATAATGGCTATCCAGAGAGGCGAAAAACATACATTACGTGAACTTTATAGCAGATTGGCTGCCAAATATTATTTGCACGCTGAGTTAAGTTAATAAAATGAAGTCATCGTTCCGTGCACAGATATACTTTAATAAGGCGTAATAATAATTGATATTCACATTCCTGGTGATACACTTGTAGCGACATCACGACATTATACCAGGAAATATATATGTCATTCCTTGTGTCTTCATCCTATAGATCGCAGTGTAGACCTATCTGCTATGGTCCGCCCGTACTTCACGTTTTTAGTATTGGTAGCCTCGCTTTTATCAGGTAATCTATATCTGTTTATGATTATGAAGTTGATATGTTGTGTGTTTGATTTCAATGTTGAGTTGATACTGTCATGCATCATTAACCATATAAGACATATTTGGGGGGACGTTAGATGTGGTTTTACATCTTAATTATATAATAGTGTCGTATAATAACACTTTTAAATATTATTTATTATCTCGTGTGTGATAAGGCCTACAGTATTTCATAATTTGCATGCATAAAATAAATCAGTGCATTGGCACTTGGACCCCTTAGGTACCCACTTATACTCCTGGTTTGTGAAAGACTACTCTGATAAAGTATATTCAACATAATCTACTTGCACAACGACGGTTTTGAACTTTCTACCAGTGGTATATCTAGGGATGCGGGGTGTGTGTGGAGGGCGCAAAGATACTCATTCCTCTAAAAATACTCATTCCCCTAAAAAAATACCCGAGCCATCCAGTCGACATGAATAAACGTTCGAAGAAAAAAAAATCACTCTCAATTAATTAAAATTCACCTTAAATCACCTTATTTCTTGAGAGCCATGACCCACGTCCCCCTCACATATTCATCGAGCCCCCATTTCGTATTTGCT